TCAATACAGAGCCTTCTTTCTTTGGACTCAGTATGGCACATCTTCTCAATCTAAGTTCTGTACTATCCACCTTCTTACCCTACTTATCCTCTATAGGGGGGTCTGAAGTACCCTGGTGGAGTCCTATCCGTCCCGAGTGTGGGGTTCTCAAAGGGGGGGGTGGGGGGCTTACCTAGGGGAATCCTGTTCCAGGGCTTCCCAAAGGTGTGGACGGAGTCGGCGAAGACTATCCACCCTCTTCCTACGGTGGAGTCCTATCCGTCCCGAGTGCAAGAGGGCTTACCTAAGGGTCCCTGTTCGGGCGCCAGATGCCGGAGTCCAACCCCAGCAGGTCCAGGGGTCCCCAAAGGTGTGGATGGAGTCGGCGAAGAAGGAATGACACAGAGACAGTGTTCAGTTGATCAGCAGCCTAGCCAGGATCTCCAGCCAGGATCTCCAGCCAGGATCTGGTCTGGATCTCCAGAGAGGTTCTGCTTAGGATCTCCAGCCAGGTTCTGTGTCCATGTTTTCTTGCTAGGTTCTCCAGGTTCTCCAGCCAGGTTCTGTAGCCATGTTCCCTCGCTAGGTTCTCCAGCCAGGTTCTGTCCAGGTTCTCCAGCCAGGTTCAGTCACCAGGTTCTCGTCAGGTTCTCTTGCCAATTTCTGTAGTCAGGTTCAGTCCAGGATCTTTTGCCATGTTCTCTTGCTAGGTTCTGTCTCTAGGTTCTGAGGCCAGTTTCTGTCCAGGATCTTTTGCCATGTTCTCTCCAGCAAAGTTCTTCTGTCTCTAGAGAACGCTCTGTGTAGGTTCTGTGCCTAGGTTCTGTCTCTCTTGGTTCTGTATTCTAAGTTCTGTGTCTTGCTGTCTTATTACATCTGTATTTATACCAGTTGATTCAATCCTATCAATCTCTATTACAAAGGTTAGGGCGTTTCTTATCTCCAATCCAGGGAGTAAAGATTATGTAGCTTAAGCATGATTGTTCGTAGTTAAAGTGATTAATTACCCACCTGGCACTTAGTTAAGAGGTTTTATTCCCTCCCTAACTTCAGGGGAAAATCCCTACCTGGGGAAACAACCTTTCTCAGAGACCTTGGTTAAAACACATAGTGACAAGAAGGTGAGCAAACATATTAAAAACAGTATGCCATATATGCCAGGTCCCTTGAAACAGCAAGCATGGACCGGCTTCCGGCAGAACGACCCTTTCACAGGGGTCGCCTAAGACCATCGGAAAACACATACATAATTACATATTGTTTTTGTGATTAATCACTATGCTTTAATTATGTTCAATTTGTAACAATGAAATTGGGGCTCACCACAACATGAGGAACTGTATTAAAGGGTTGTGGCATTAGGAAGGTTGAGAACCACTGTTCTAACGGGTTTTCTATTCCTTGCTCTGCTTCCTCCTTCTGGCACCCCTATTATGTGGGTGTTGTTTCGTTTTGTGTTGTACTGAAGCTTCCTTAGGCTCGCCTGTATTTTAAATTTTCTTTCCAGTTGTTGCTCTGTTTGGGTGTTTTTTCCACCTTGTCTTCTAACTTGCTGATGCGGTCCTCAGTTTCTTTTAGTCTACTGTTGAAACTTTCTTTATTGCAGCTATGTCATTCTTCATTTCCTCTTGATTCTTCTGCATTTTCTCTTGATTCTTACACATGTTGTTGAATTTGTCTTTCCTTCCTTTCAGCATCCTTATATCCATTGCTCTGAATTCTTTGTGGCAAATTGCTTGCCTCCATTTAATTTATTTGCTTTTCTGGTGGTCCCTCCTTTTCTTTCCTATGGGGGTTGTTTCTTTGTCTCCCCAGTTTTGCTGTTCCTTTGTGATTGTTTCTATGTATTAGATCAAACTACTATGCCACGCAGATTTTTTGAGTTTGTCTTATGTAGTAGATGTATTGTGGGACCCAGTAGTGCAATCTCTCAGGTCTTTTCTGCTGGGTATTCTAGGCATGCCCCCTACTTGGGATATTTGGGTTCTCTTGGTGTAGTTGGGTCTTGAGTGTTATTGTCCCATTTGTGGATGGAGTCTTCTCTTAGCATGTCTGGTTATGTGGCTTGCTCTCTATGTTCACTGAACAGTACAAAATACAACTCGACAAGACACAACACAAAGGGAAAAAAACACTTATGTACTCATGACACTGATAACCCCAATAAAAGTGACCACCAGAGAAAAGAGAATTAGGAAAGAGAAAAGAGGAAAAATGATATTGAGGAGAGAAAAAAAGGTAAGAGAGAAAATAAAAAAGAAATGTATATATATATGGGGAGATAACACCACAAAATAAATAAACCAAAAAATGCAAACAGTGAACATCCAGAAAAGTGGGGGGACAGAATCTGTACAGGCAGAGCTTATATACAGAAAGTAAGGTTAAGGAATTGAATGAATATGGTAAGGACCACGGTTCAGTATAGAGGCATTAGAAAGAATGAGTGGATAAGAAGAAAGATAATAAAAAATTAAAAGATAAAACACATTTTTAAAAATTTTAGTTCATTTATTCACTTATTTTTGGAAAAGGAGAATAGAGGAGAGAGCTGATAGGCTTGAGTTTAGTGAGTGAATCTAATTAAACAACTAGAAGAAGAGAGCAGGAGAGGAGAGGAAAAACAAAAGCATAAAAAAATTGACGAGTGAAGAAAGAGAGAAGAGAAGAGTGCATGAACTTGGAGCAGGGGAGAGGAAGTTAGATATATGAGTAAGCCACAGAGACTGCAATAATAACACAGCAATAAAGCAGATAAAGATCAACTTTTAACAAGGGGTAAAAGGAAAGGAAAGAGAAAAACTAAAGTGGGTCAGGAGAAGAGAAAGGGAGGAAAATGATAGAAGTGAGGAACAGGGTGGGGAAAAAAGAAACAATAAGATAAAATAAATAAAAACAATGAAAAAATAATACACAAAAATAAAAGATTCAAAAAATAATGAAAAAAAATTTTTAATAAAAGATTAAAAGGTGAAGTGTCATTCGCTTCAGCTGAGTGTTAATGCCCCGGGGGGACCCCACTCTTCTGTTCTGTCTGCCAGTTCTCAGTTTCCTGGTAGGTAGTCAGCACCGTGTTGAAGTTCCAAGTGATCCACCGCTCCTCTGTTTGTGTCCATCTCCACAGCCTTGGCTGCGAGCAGGCAGGACCAATCTGCCCGCTCTGCCTGTCTGCCTGCTGTCAATCTTAATCTCTCCAGCGTCTGCTTCTGATCGGGCTTTAGGTGGGGGTGGTGCTTTATCGCTTTCCAGGACTCAATGGCCCCTCTTCAGCCCAGTCCCTGAGGGCTCTTTGGGGCTCTTCATAGTCTTCATGTCCTTTGTACAGCTCAAGGTGTAGGTTGGGTGTGACTGTATTGGCTGTCTTGAGGCTGCTGGGAGGGCGGGTTCTTCAGGAGAAAAATGGCTGCTTAGGTTTGGAGGGTCAGGAAAGTCTCAGTGTCGGATTCCCGTCACCTCTCCCCATCCCACTCTCCTCCACAGCCTCTCCCCAGACCCCACAAATCTGCACCTGCACAGCAGCCTCGGTGAGTGTAATTGAAAGGTCCTATGAACCGGGTTTAGTGAATAAAAGAAGACAAAATAGAGGCAGGACAGCCACGTGACTATGAGTTTCTTTCCCCCTGGCACCCCGCGGCTCTGGCAGCTCTTCAGGCCGCCTTTCTGGGCGCAGCCTCTCGCAGCTGTGGGCTTAGATCTAGATTCTCCAGCCGCCAGCAGCCCGTGGACCTCCCTTCCACAGTTGGATGTTACACCTGTCCCCAAGGGATGCAGACTTGGTGCCCTGCAGCTTTCTTCTGACCCTCTCTGCCTGGTGGTCGCCCGTCTCTCTCCAGCCCAGACCCACGATCCTACCGTTCTCCAGGCAGCCTCTGCCCTTCCCAGCTGTGAATTGTCTCACCAGCTGTGTCCAGTTTGCCAATTCCGGGTGGAAGTTATTTGATTTAGTTGCTTCTATCTGCTCTGGGACAAGTCACAGGACATGTCTGCCTATTCGGCTGCCATTTTTTTCTCTCCAAGGGCTGGAATTGTTTTTGTTTTTTTAAAAAATATATATATTTATTGGTTTCAGAGAGGAAGGGAGAGCTAGAACATCGATGAGAAAATACCATTGATCGGCTTCCTCCTGCACACCCCACATTGGGGATCGAGCCTGTAACCAAGGCATGTGCCCTGACTGGGAATTGAACCATGACCTCCTGGTTCATAGGTCGATGCTCAACCACTGAGCCACACTGGCTGGACTCTTTGGATTTATATTATTCTAGTTATGAATATTTTTAATAAGTCCTGAGTCACTCAGGATAGCAGTGTATTGTCTCTTTAGTCCTTTGCGTGGATGTGCTTTCATAGTTAACAAGTACAGGCACCTGCATTGGCATTGCGTGTGGCTGACGCTGCGGCTCTGGTGTTTGCTCTGCCTCTGACTCTTGGTGCCATCTTGGGCAAAGACTACCTTCTGTGAGCCCCAGATATCCTTAGTGAGTAAGCTGACTCAGTCGTTCACATTTCTTGAGCATCTGTGGAGTGCCAAGTACCTTGCTGGGCACAGGACTTTTTAAAGGTTTTATTTATTTCTCATTGTAGCCCTGTGAGTTACAACAGGAGTCATCAAACTACAGGCCACGGGCCAAATATAGTCCCTGCCTTTATTTTAAATAAAGTTTTATTGGAACACAGCCATGCCCATTTGTTGATGTGTCACCCACGGCTACTTTCATGAGGTGGGGGCCCACAAAGCCTAAAATATGTGCTGTCTGGCCTGAACAGGAACACTGTGCTGACCCCTGCTGTAGAGCAGACAGGCAGAGGTGGTTGGCTGACTCGTGAATTAGAATGTGCCTATTGGATAGATAAGGGAGGGAGCGGCTCAGGAAAATGGGCGTCCCATGACTACTCCTTGAGCCCAGACGTGCTGCTCTGAGCATCGTGCTCCTGTCGTCCCAGATGCTGGCCTTCCTTCCCGGGAGGTGCTACTGGCCTCTCTGCTGTTTAGCTGAATGATGTTCTCTTTGTGCATTCAGGAGGTTTCTCGACGCGACCGTTCGTGAGGAGTGTCCAGCGCCAGAGCTTGTCATCCAGGTCTTCTGTCACCAGCCCCTTGGCCGTCCATGAAAACTGCATCAGACCTTCTTGGTCCCTGTCTGCCAAGCTGCAGATGCGCTCCAGCTCTCCTTCCCGGTTCTCAGGGGACTCTCCGGTTCACGCCTCCACCTCCACCTTGGAGAAGATCGGGGAGGCGGTGGATGACAAGGCCTCCATCTCTTGCTTTGGTAGCTTGAGGAGCCTTTCTAGCAGTTCCCAGGACCCGGGCGGCGCTCCCAGTCGACGGGAGCACAAGGCTGCAGGCCGGGCCCCTCTGGCTGTCATGGAAGGCGTGTGCAGAGACGAGCCAGACTCCCACAGATCAAACTCCGGTGTGGCAGACACACAGAGCAAACACTCAGCACAAGGGGCTCGCTTGCCCCCCGTGTCTGATCCATTTGATAACAATAACCAGATAGCTTACGTGGATCAGAGCGATTCTGTAGATAGCTCTCCCGTCAAAGAGGTGAAACCCCCAAGCCACCCAGGCTCCCTCACAAAGAAACCAGAGAGCACAACCAAGAGTTCCCCCAGCTGCAAAGGCGCGTCTGAGCCCGACAGAAGCTTGCGGAAGGGGAGGTCGGTCTTGGCGAGCCGGGGGTCATCTCAGTCCAGCACCTCCCCTTCCTCTCCGGTTCCTGCCAAAGTTTCTGTGAAGCCCTCCCGATCCCGAAGCAAAGCGGAGTCTTTCAGGGCCCCTACCCCTCCCAGGAAGGAGCCCTCCCCCAGAGCCCAGGACTCGGTGGCCTCTCCTTCGGCCCAGAAGCCGAAGGCAGCTTCTTCCCTCGGGTGCACTGCTTCCTCCACCCCTGCCAAAAAGGCCTCGGGCCCTGCCGCCAGGGGCCCCTGCCCACCAGGGAAGGGCAGGACTGCGGAGCGGAGCCTAAGTGGAGAGGGCTCCAGACAAAGCCTGGTTTCTGACCGAGCCGGGGTCCCCTCCAGCTCCAAGCCCAACTCCCCTCGGGGGAGCCAGGCCAGGGCGGGGGAGGGCCGGGAGGACGGGAAGCAGGTCAGGAGCTCCTCCATGGCCAGCCTGCGCTCCCCCAACGCGAGTGTGAAGGCTGGTCTGAAGCGGGACAGCAAGTCGGATGAGAAGGGGCTGTCCTTCTTCAAGTCCGCCTTGAGGCAGAAGGAGACGCGGCGGTCCACTGACCTCGGCAAGACGCCCTTGCTCTCCAAGAAGGCAGGTGGGAGCTCCGTCAGGTCGGCCTGTAAGAACGCCGGGGAGGACAAGGCGGAGAAGGGGCACCGGCCTCCAGCCTCCCAGCAGCCAAATGCCAGTTCCGTTGGGAAAGAGCAGCTTGCCTCCAAGGACCCTGCTTCTGCTAGACATCCCCTGCTGTCCAGTCGCAGATCCAAGTCTTCCCCGCTAGACTGCGGAGCACCCGCATCTCCTGGTGGCAGGCAGTCCACCGAGAAGTCCTCCCAAAGGTTACCTTCGAGCATGCCAGCCTCTGCACGGCCTCCGAAACCTCAGTGACGCCGCTGCGCTCCAGTGCGACCTGCGACACGTTTATTTATTTAGAACCCTCCCCTCCCACCAAAGCCCTCTATGCTTTTGTATTTTTTGGGTCATGTGCCTGATGTGTGTGCTTGCGTGCGTGTGTGCGTGCGTGTGTGTGTCTGTGTGTGTGTGTGTGTGCGGATTTCAATTGCAAATTGTTAAAAGCGTCGCCTTATTCTGCCATTGAACCAAATAACAGCCATAGGCAAAGCATCAATACCGAGCTAACTGGAACAATCACAGATGATCCCCTGGACAGTCCCGGTAGCAGTTGTATATGTTTCTTTAGAGAACTCTAATGACTCGTTGGACACTAGGGTCTGGAACCTGGGACCAGTCAAGCTGCTCTGCAGAGGATGAGTTATGTGACCTGGGGTTCAGCTGAGCAGGACTTGTCCTCACGGGGACTGCCATGTGGCACCAGGAGTTCTAAAAACTGTGACACTAACAGACAAACCGAGAGAAAACGGTTGCTTCCTGCACTTTGGCCCCATCTACCAGTCTTTGTAAAGGGCAATATTTTAACACTAATGTTTCTCAGGTAAATATACTCAGCCAGGTTAGGAAGGATGTGTAAGCGGATTAGAGAGAAGGTGGCTGTCAGTGACTGTCAGTCCTCCTCCTGCCACACACGGACAGTTTCAGAGGTAGAAGCAGTCTTTCGCTGCTTTCATATCGGCAGAGATGTGGGTCCCAAGATGTGGCAGATCGGGTAAAGCCAGTCACTCGTAGTTAAGGTTTTCCCTCCTACATTTGCTAGTGAAGGCCATTGGGAGTTTGAAAAGTAGTAGAGCAGTAGAGGAATCTTTTAAAGATTCCTGGGAAAAGAAAAAGGATTCTCAACTGCACACATGAATCTCTCCCATTTCCCTCTGGTGTTGCTTTTTCTGTGTTGGACGTTGAAAGCTCCATGCCCACGTCTCCACGCTCTGGTAAGTCATGACGAGGAAAGAAGTTGCTAAGGCCAGAAGTCAGTGGTAGTTGAAGCGACGTGTAACAAAGTATTACATACACGTTTCTGATCCTGCCTGTCGGGCTCAGTGTGACTGCTCTTCGGCAATTCACTTCCTTCTTCGTGCTTAAGATTGAATCTCTCGCCAGAACTCGGCGGGGTCAGCGCAGGTTCTGTGTGGCCCTGTCCATGCCAATTGCATTTTCTGGTTAGACGAGAACCTCACAGACATCTCACAGATAAGCAAGATACTGGTTTTCCAAGCTCTCTGGGGGTATCCTGGCAAGTTTTAGTTTTTTCCTCCTTTTTCTAAATGTCAAGAGAGTCTTGGTTCTCATTCTATTTGAATAGCATTTGTCACTTTGCTATGAAATATAGCATGCTATGTTTATATGCTTTTAAATACTAACATACAAAAAACTCACAGGCTCTTCAACTTCTCCCTGAACTCCTGGTGCATGGACGCATGTATAATCCCCCTTCAGTCCTGCTGTGTGTGAGGCGACCACACACACATACACACACACACACACGGCTGTGAATTCTGCACTGCCTTTTGTTGTTTTTCCATGAATACCTCTTGGGAAATGTTTCCAGTAGGTTACTTAACTTTATTTTGCTGCTAATTTGAGCATTAGCAGGTAACTCACAAGTCTGGAGGCCGTTTTTGTTGAGGGTAGCTGGAATTTTAGACCCTTGTGATAGCTAAGACTCCCTCGGCTTGTGGAAGTTGCCGTAGTGCTCCGTGACATTTCCTGAGCACGCGTGTCTGCCCCGTGCCCAGTCCTATGGCTCCAGAGCAGCGCTGCTCCTCGGCACAGTGACTGCCGATGCCCGCCTGCTGGGATGTTCTCGCTTCTGACCACACGTGGACAGCCGGTCTGTTTGGCATTGGTTTTCTGTATCACAAATGTGGGAGCGCCAGTATCAGGAATTCAGTGTTTGTCTTATTGGAACCTCTCATCATCCTTTTGCCGGCAAACCACATTTGAAATCTATCTGCATCTCTGCAAAGTGTCAGAATTATAGTTTGGCTACATAACAGGTTTTATGAACACCTTTTGGGGCTATAATCATTTAGGCATGAATGGAAGGTAGTTTAATTTTCACAGTGGTAAATATTTTTATTCTTGAGTGCTTCAGGAATGGATTTTCCATTTGGTTTAGTGTCCTAAAAAGCACACTACAAACTTCTTTAATTTTCCATGAGGTCTAGAAATAAAATTTCAGTATCTATAAAATTGTATGCTTATGAATTTAGTCCTTGTTTCAGATTTAAATGGAAAAGTCAGGAAGTATTATGGCATTGTCTAGGCATCTCTAAGCGATTACATTGCTGCGCTTAAGCAGTGAAAAGTTCATCCCTGATCACCAGGCACAGACGTTCAGCCGCCGAGAAGGCTGTCTGGCCCAGAAGTTTGCAGGTCTCTGAGGTGTAGTGTGGGGAGTGGTTACTTGGTTCAGTTCAGGCCTTCGGTAGGTTAGGGACTTGGTGTTGGTTTTGTTTTTTCCCCGGTGACGTTTGGTGCAATGAGCAATACGTTTGGGGTTGGAAATAACCTACTAAGGATGGTGGGCCTGGGTTTCTGGCCTCATCCGAGCACTCATTTCCTGGTGGGCACAGAATAACCACCAACCATGGAGTTCGTCTGTCATGTTTGTCCACTTAAGAAACGTTTCATTCTGGATTTCTTTCCAATGAACACCCCAGGCACTGAGGCTACAGTGTTCCCTAAGTCCCAGGCCTTGCCTTCGTAATCCCTCCCTAATGGGCGAGCACGGAGGCTGTTAGGCTCATGTCATGCAAGACCATCTCCCACCTTTTTGTATTTTCTCTCCCTAAAAGCAGCCTAACAGGGTAATACTACGCTGGGCCAATAGGAGCACTTGTGTTTTGGTAAAGTATTGTAATTATCTGAGGCTGCCCTCAACTCTTGTAATCATTCTTTCATCATTTATTCATTCGTTTGTTCATTCTGACGCATCGGTTGAGGGCCTGCTCTGCGAGTGAAGGCCAGCTGCAGGCTTCGGGAGTTGGCTGTGGCCGAGGAGCCCTGGGAGTGCAGCTGATGGACCGGGTGCCAACGGCGCCCTAAGTGGAGTGACAGAGCCAACGGGGTTCTGCTGATTCGGCCAAGTCCTCTTGAGCATGTGTGTCCTGGAAACCAAAAGTGTCCTTCACCTCCGGAGGCGCTTTCCTCTCCGTCCACTTTTCCAGACTACGCTGTTTCTATACTTAGGGCTTGAAAAGGTGGTCGTCCACGCTGGCAGGAGATGGATGTGGGGATTTGCGGGGGGGCGGGGGGCATTTGAGAGAAAAATTGTCATCCCCCTAACTATCAGGAGAAACAGGAACAGCATGTGAAGGACGACAGTGGCTGCCTTCAGGAAAATGGTGCAGAGGAGAGCTGTGAGCAAAACTCATTCACGTCAAATAAACATGTTTTTCAAGTAGATTGACATCTGATGTTACCTTTCATTCTGATAAAATTACTGATCAGTTGAAGTTACTGTTTCCTGAAGTTATAATTGTTGGATGCAAAGATAATTAGTGTTTCTGGTTGGAATTTTGACATAATCTGCAAATGACAAGCACAGTTTCTATAAAACACATTCTGTGAGGTGGGTTGAACCTTGTATCATTTGGGACTGACCAGAGCAAAATTTGCTGACTAACCAGTGCCTGTGTCCTAACCATAAACACAAAAGGGAGCTGTTACTGTGCAGGCTGAGTTCATAAAGGGTGCATTGTTGCCAAACCAGCAGGAGTATTTGGGGGTAAACGCCGTTTTTATTTTGGTTGAGTAGTCAGCCGCATTGCCTTCGGCTCAGCGCCCAGAGGTGTGCCTTGCAGCTGCACGGGGAGCCTGAGCAGCCACTCACCCCGGGACACAGGACCACTCTGCATGGCCTGCAGCCACCCCAGAAGCATGCTCTCACTACCTATGCAAAGCATCTCCTAAGCAACATCCACTACACTAAATACGCTTTTTTAAAGGCAACTCTTAGGTTACGGAGCTCTATTTTCGAATTTGTAATTATTAAATGTGGTCTAAGTGTAGAAGAGCACAGATGTGGTCTCTGCTTTGCACATGTTTCCCTCAGCCAACTTTTTTGATCATTGGTGAGACTGTGTAAAGTAAGTATTTGCAAGCAGGAGTGGGTGGGGATGTTGAACACTGGTTTATATACTGTATTTAGCTTGAAGACTTTCGTAAAGTATAGGGATGTTCTAAAAATAACCTGCCATTTTCTATAGATTTTAATTGTTTATATCTTCTAGGGTTCTATCGTGGTCACAAGGAGAGGACGTGGCTCCTAGTAGTGCTAACGATTTTAAATGCTTTTTTAGAGACTTAGAGCTACTATTACAGAAAACTTGGAGCTCCCCAACCATTGGTCACATGAAGACTAAGCTGGTGGGATTATGGTGGCATCCGAGGGCGGGTTAGGGTGTAGATCCATCTCACGTTTGTTTTAACCTGGTGTTTCCCAGTTTGGGGGAGAGGAGATCCATGATAGACGAGGGAGGCCCTTCCCCTCACACAGACTGCCCCCGATTCCACGGAGCCTCTTCTGCGATCTGGACACCAGTGTTCGTGAGACTTGTGTAGGGAACTTTTAAGCACCCAGGCCCCGCCCCCTGGCACACTCTGTAGTCGGTGTGGTCGGCTCAGGAACGACCACGTGGATTAAAGCTCCAGGTGTGTCTGAAGTGCGGAGTTGAGGAGCCCTGCCCAGAGCCAGGGCAGAGCCCCAGATTTTGATAGAATGACGGTTGGTTTCTTTGTAATAATTATAATAGCAAACACTAGGCTGCCCCAGATTCCTTGTTTAGCTCATTCTCTACTTGTCTAGAATGTAATTTCAGGAAGTATTTTTAAATTTAAAAATGAATGTGAAGCATTTTTATTTGGAATATTTTTCTTTTTTTTTGTAACCCTCATTGGTATTTTTTCATATAATTTTAATAAATCAGATAATGCTCATCCAAAGTTTGGCTGCATACATTACGGTGGAGGCCAGTGGGATGGAGTTAATCTGGTGAGCTGAGTGCGTGCCAAGGACTTCAGAGAGTCCCCATGCGCCTCGGGTGGTCATCTCACCATTGCCGCCCGCGAGAAAGAGAAACTCTTAGTTCCCCTGGAGTTGGCGTTTCAAGGCACAAAGATAGCAAGCCGCAGGCTGGCGGGTCCGTGGAGGAAGGTGATGGGAGTTCCCTAGGTGCTACTCTGCCTCTCACCTCTGGTTAAAACTGAACTCCGGCCCTCACAGCGCTGGCTTCTCACGGGACGGACGCTCGGGCTGCACCCGGGCTGCTGTCCTGGGAGCTGCCGTCACAGACGCACAGGCGGCTCGGCATCCTCCACGCGCGCTCAGGGCCGAGTTCCCGTGGCCGCGCAGTCGCGGGAAGTGGGGGCTTCCCGTGGCGGAGAAGTGTGTCAGACCTTTTCAGTTATTTTAGAGCAAGTGCATGCGATGTGCCACTGACTTCTGTTATTTATTTGTGTGTCTTATTCTTCAAGGTGATGCACTTTTAAGAAGCAGAATTTATATTTTTATGTTTAAATTTTATTTCTGGAACAGCAGTTGATTATATTGCATACAGTTGGAATTAAGAGAAAAGTGAAAATGTAACAAAATACAATAAATTTATTACACGATGCCCTTCAAGCCATACTCCTCTTTCTCCCCCTTGCCAAACTGCATTTTTTGGTGTTGATTAAGCTCGGAAATTTAACAGATATCGGTACCACGCTGATATATACAAAATGCCTTAAAGTTGTACTGTTAAGTGAAGAAAATAAGTTGCAGAAGGATGCATGCAGCTACTCTGTAAATTTTTAAAACAAAAAGTCACATCCGTCCTTTTGACTTGCACCGTCAAGGAGTAGCATCCGTGTCTCCTCGGGTAACTCCACCCGGCTCCGGACAACACCGCATTCTCCTCCAGGCCAGCGGCCCTCCCGCATGTCCTGTTCTCCCTCCTGCCGCCCTCTGATGGGAGGAAACGCCGGCCAGAGGGCCGTTCCCTCTGGGCCGCTCGCCCCTCACAGCTTTGCTCTTCCCTGTTCTGTTCTGGAATCTCCAGCTCCCGACCGCGGGGCCGGACTCCCTGCGGAGGATGTCCTACCTCGTGTGGCCGCAGGGGGTCGCACTCCCACCGCAGCCGCTGCCGCGCCCCCTCTGCAGGCCGTGGCGGGTTTGGGGGAGCAGCTGCACGCCGAGTGCACAGCATCGGGTTTCCCTAGAAACGGGGGCAGGTCACCGGGGCATCATGGCCTGGGGTTGGGGCAGGGAGGCTCCCAACCCAGGATGCGTGAGTGGGCCACGTGTCCTGAAACGCAGCATGCGGCACTTACAAACTCGGGTTTTAAGCGGGAGAATTTTGCTTTAGGTTCCATTGAAGAGTTCAACCTGTTAACGTAAAAAACCATTGAAATCTGTAAAAAAAATTTAGTGAATTTATTTGAGCCAAACTGTCCACATATGCCGGGAAGCAGAGCCTCAAGGAATTGAGACAATGCTCTGGAGAAGGGCGGGTTACATCTGTATTTACACATTGCAGTCAAAGGAGGGAGGGAGGTGGGTTACACGAAATCCATTGGTGGTAGACTAGAGAGGCGGGAGGAAGGAAAGTGGGGGGGTGGGTAGGGAACCCCTGGGATTAGATAAAAGGTAAAATGATAGACACATGCTAAGCAGGAACAATTACCATGATAACAACGAAGGAATTTGTGGTCTCTGTCCTGGCGCCCAGCACATTAGGTTGTGCCCCAAGGGGTCGGGACAAAGGGAGGTTACAAGTTACCCAGACATTTCTAGGGTATGTTATCGTAGATGCAAAAAAACAGATAGGCCCAGTTAAGGTAAAGGTTGACCTGGTCAGTGAAGATACCGGCCTAGGAGTTACTATCCACCATAACTGCTTTTAGTTAAAGTTTAATTTCAGACCATCCTTTGTGGTGACTTTAGGTCTGAGTTTGCAGGACCGCCACGCAGGCCTCCCCTGAGCTTGTCAGGTCAGCATGTGGCCCCTTTCGTCCACAAACCATGCAGTGCACTGATTACAGAGGGTTCGTTATGCGAAAGTTTCATGTCGTAAGATACACAGATTGAGTAGCTAAGCAAATGTATGAGGCACATTCTGTTTCCTCAGAATTTGGAGGGTTATTTTCAAATATCCGAGTGACCAGTATCTCCCTGACAGTTTTCCTGGAGAAAGCCTGCCGTACCCCACAGGATGTGTGTGCCTGGAGGCCTGTCCCGCCCAGCGCCCCCTCCTCTGGCGTGGGGGGGCGGCTCTTGGCTCTCCTGGGGGAGGGGTGCTCTGGCTCCCGTTTTGCAGCCCTGTGCCACGTCTCTGGCATCGCCTCATAGATATCCTGTCTCCGTGCACTGGGGCTGCCTCATGTAGAACCTTCTAGATTCAGTCTTGATTTGGTCTGGTTTCGCCACGTCTCCCATCTCCGTACAACGTTCTCTGCGCAGGGAGAGCGAGAGCCACCCTCTCCCAGAGCGACAGGGTTTTGCATCCTGCCGGGTGACCCCGCGGCCCAGCGCCCTCTTCTTTAGAGCGTTCAGGGATGGGACATCCTTGGCTGTCAGCTCCGTTTTTCCTAAAGAAAGTAGGGAGGACTGCGGGTGAAGCCAGTGTCGTGGTCGGAACCTCTGCAGGGCAGGCATGTCCAGTTCCTGGGCCCAGCGGGGCGGGGTGGGGAGTGGGGGTGCGGCGGTGAGGGGAGGGTGCCAGGCTCTTCACTTAGCAGTGCCCTGTGCCCAACGCGGGGTCTGACTACACCTGGGAGGCGCATTCTTACATCCCAGTGCTCCTGCCCTGCGTTCCCGTCGCCCTCCAGGCACTGCCAGCCCAGCCCACTTCCCAGTGCCCAGTGGCTTGTCTCTGAGAGGCCGCGGGGCGCGGCATTCCCTGATCCCCTTGGTGTCTTCACTCCACACCAGTCTCCCAGCCCTTCCTTGAGCCCTTCCCTTTCCCTCCTCCCTTTCTCTTCAGGCCACTTCTCACCAACTGCCACAGCAGACGTGCAAATATGTGCAACGTACAGCACACACGCCCATCGTACAGCCGCCCCTCGGTCTCGGGGGACTGAGCCCGGGACCGCTCAGATACCACATTTGCAGACGCTCAAGTCCCTTATATGAAATGACATAGTATTTGCATGCAATCTACATGCATTCTCCCATGTACTTTAAATCATCTCTAGATAACTTATAATTCCTAATACAATGCAAATGCTGTGTAGATACTTGTTTGCTGTGTTATTTAGGGAACAGTGACAAGAAAGTCTACATGTTCAGTATAGGCACCACTATGATCTTCGTAGGCCTAACTGTATGCATGTCAGCAACAATGTAACTTTCTTTCAAGTATTTTTGATCCACTGGTTGGTTGAACCCACATATGTGGAACCCATGGATGCCAAAGGCCA